GTGTGTGTGTGTGTGTGTGTGTGGATATAACACCACAGTGCGTGGGCAGCTGGAACAGGTAGGTCTGAAGACAGAGTCTATTTAAAGCTCTTTCGATGTGTTTCGATGTGTGTGTCTTAATTCTGCGTGTTGTTATTACTGTCACTGGATTCTGCAAGTACAGACTCTGTCGCTTTGATGTAGCAATGTCACTTTTTAACTTTTCTGTTGTTTGTTTTGTATGTGAACAACTTTTAAATTGTTTGTACCCAAGTGTTTGATTTGTTTGTGTCAATACAATAACTAACTAACTAACTATCACAACAAACATTATCTCTGCACTTCACCCAGTGAGGTAGAGACTTTACTTTTTGGAGTTCAACTTTATCTTTCACACGATATGAGAATCATTTCTCTGTGAGCTAGTTTTAAGGAGATCAAAGTCACATACCCCCCCCCCCCCAAAAAAAAGTTCAAACTTCATTAGCCCGTATGTTCTTTAATTAGGTTTCTCACCTGAACAAAGCTGCATGACCTAATGTTATTGTTCTCACTCAATGTCTCTTTGTGCAGCTCGGTGGTTTTGGTCCCATTTTGCTTGATATTAACTTTCAGAATTTCCTCTCTGTGGTCAGGCTCTTGTGTATCAGCATCACCATGAGGCAGTGACAGCCCGGGGACAGGGATGGCAGAGCTGGAGATCGACCAGTCCAACCTGCCTCGCGTCCGAGAAGGTAAGAACGTGGGCCGGCTCTTGCATCTGGAGAGTTTAACCATGGATGTGTGTGTGAAATGTATGTGCCACCGTTCCTGCTCAGGCCTGGGGAAAAAAGGGTTTTTTTAGGCCCTGCACATGAAGGTCAGAGTTCAGGTTCAGCCTCGGAACCACAGACATGGAGCCAGTGTGGATTCAGTGTTTCAGCACAGATGATACTAAAGACAGAGTTGTCAGCCGCACACTCGAGAGCAAATATGACAACTTCCCATCTCTTCTTTTGTGTTGTGAATAACTGACTTTGGCACCAGATGGCAGTTCTCCTTTTGACCTTTTGTGTTTGTGCTTGACTTCTATTCTTCAGTGTTCAGCTCTGATAAGAAACAGCTTATGTTTTGACTAAATGCAGCAGGTTCAGTTTCAGACTGGAGCCCGACTGATATAATCGTCCGATATGAGACATTCATAGACGGATCGATAGCGGCCGATATGAAAACCTTTGGAAAATATGTGTATTTATATTTATATTTTACTTGTATCTAAAAAAAAAATCTATATTTGGTTGTATTTGTGTTTATACGTAGTTATAAAGTGATTCAACTGTAAAAAAAAATGTTTTATTTATGAGCTGATACATGTATGTTGGTGTCTGGGAGTTTTTTTAATCTAAAAATCCATATCGGTCGGGCTCCAGCTCATGCAGCTGCACAGAGATGTTTCTCATCATAGACAGGTCTGGTGTTCAAGGTGCAGATAAGAGCAGGGAATGAGACGGCTGTTTATGATACATGACGTCTGGGAGAAGAAAGTGCAATAAGTCCAGATGGAAACTTGCCCCGCATCATAAGTCAAGTTAGAAACATTCTGACTTGACATGTAAATACTTGCTAGAGATCGTTTTAGTGATATAACCAAAAACCAGCTGCTAAAAACCTGCTGGTGGTAAAAATCCACACACGCAACTACGATATTGTCTCATTGTTGTTAAAATACAGCTTTGATTCAGTTTTATTTGTTTGTATGTCCATGAAAACATTCACAGGTATGAATGTGTCAGCTGCGTCCTGGCTGCAGACCGTTGGCTCAGTCTTCAGCACGTCCATGCTAATGAATAGGATAGAAATAGGTCTCTGCGTCTTTTATCAAGGGAGATAATTCAGCACTCTACTCTTGTTTCCACACACAAAGGGCACAGTGTGCAGCTTTGCATTGCCATGCTTTATTGAGCAGGGTGCTGTGCACAAACAAAAAACGGTGACACCAGCTGTAAACTGCTCAATTGCTGGATGTAATTCAGATGTCTGGTCATTTTTTCACTCATTGTGCACTTTCATTTGTCACATTTGTCAAACTGTGTCGTTGTCCCTCTCGTCGAGGGGCTGGGGTTGTTGACATATCCTGCAGTTGTCTGTGTTTATGATTCCAGCTCCTCGTGTTCTTCTTCTCCTTCACTTTACTCCTCATCCCAGCGTCCTGGTCAAGTCGACTTTCTTTGTTTTCTCTGCCCCTCTCTTATCAGTTCCTGTTTTGTCCCTCCTCTGGTTGCTCCTGATATAGCCTGATGTTCCGAGGGAATGCAGCTCCCAGAGGAATTCCCCCCCGTCTCCCCTCCTCCCTGCTCTCGATCTCACTCTCACCAACTGACCCAGAGTCCCATTGCCCCTCACCTCTCTTTGTTCTCCATGACAACCCAGTCCAGTTTTACGAGCTGCCCGGCCCAGTTCACCTAGTTTCTCATGCGGCACAGAGAGCTGGAGGATGGACAGACACTTTATGGTGAAGTTTTGTGCAAAACAAAAAGCAGCAAGCAGAGAGAAGGAGGAGAGAGGGAGAAAGAGCGCGTGGGCGGTCGGTGGGGAATTTTGGCTGAAAATAGACCCTTGTCATTTTCTCCTTTTGCCAGTTTCTTTGTTCGGGAGGCACTTCCCACCGCTGCTCTCTGAGTGGAAGTGAAGATGAAGGAAGAAATATCTCCGTCTGATCGGCTGCTCCCTCACTCTGCATCATTTTATTTTAGCTGATTGGATGTCAGTTGTATAATGTTGGTGGGAGTTTTGTCGCTTAAAAAACAAAGTGCGTTCAAAGTTTCATCACCTGGAAGAAGAAGAATAGTCGCATATAGATTGAAACCGACAACAACGAGGGCGAAGAGACATTTAAATCCACTTTGTTTTTGCAGTTGAGTCTTTGAGGTCACACAGGTCACGGTTTCCTGCTTTGTAATATCCCCTTATTTCCAGAGCCAGTCTACACACACTGCTTGAAAACACACAGTGCTATACATAGAGGGAGGGGGTGGCTTCTAATATTTTGAGATTTTATCGGCTTGTTCTTGTTCATTTTTACTCTATCTCCCCCCCCACGTCTTACCCCCCAGTGCACTTGAGCTCCGTGTGTTCAAATGCCTGATCCAATTCCTGGATCTTTGATTCACTATCCTCTTAGGAAAGAGACACAGGATCTTTTTTGGTGCCTTTATTAAGCAGCTTTCTGTAAGATTATGAAACTACACTCAGTCTGGACTCGCGCTGTTTTTAGCGTTGGCCTCACACCCTCTCAAAACCTGTTCAGCAGTCAAAATAGCACAGTCTCCTTGTCCCTCCCCAAGAAATGTAACGTGACTATAGTTTAAAGTAGTGTGGAAAAACAAGTTAACCCACAATGCAGACACACCCACAGACACACACACCCACAGACACACACACACACAGACAGACACACACACACTTTCGTTCAAACAGAGGAGATTGTCATTTTCTCCATTTTTCACTTCTTCTCCTTTCAGGGAGACTTCAGAGCAGACTCGTGTTTTGAGCAGTGAATTTGTCCTTTAGGCTTAAAAAAAGAACGATTTGACTTAATCCCTCCTCACTGACAGACTGGACGCATAAGGGCAGGTTGGAGATCCATTTAGCGGATAGTCTCTTAAGCTCCACGACAGGTGTAAGTTGTAATGCATGTCTGTGTTGGTCTGGGTTAACTCTGGAGTGGAGACTTATGGGGTCATTTCTGGTGTAAATGGAACCTTTGATGGCCTCGAGGTGATTTCCATGAACTTTGACTGTTGAACCCAGTGAACTGAAACAAACCCAGTGACTTATTCTCAGCAGGAACCTTTTTTTTTTTCTTCATTTTGAGGATTTGGAGAAGTGAGTCTGAGAGACAGAGTTATGTCACATTATTCTCCGCCTTGTTTACAGACTAGGACAAAGACGAGACGTCCTCAGTTTGATGGGTTCCATCAACTCAGAATTCATTCTGTAAATGTTGTGAATGTAGCGTTGCATTGTTTAGAGCTGGCTCTAGTGCTTCATGTCAGGTTCAACTGTGATGAAACAGATAGAGACACCATATGGATCAAGAAACGCTGAATCTGTTTGTGACTTTTTACAGAAGCAAACTGAAAAGTCTTAAGTGGGTCGAATGCTTGATGTTTGCGTGTTTTCACATAGTCACAATTGTTCTGCAGACTCTAAGGTCAACGTTTTCACTCTGATAATGAACCTCGAGCTCTCCCACTTCTCCTCAGCGTCCATGACAGCACCCAGTGCACCTCCAGCTAGTAAGTGAACTTCCAGCATCTCTGCTCGTCTCCTGTTCTTAAGGATTCTGTGTTTGTGGGCTTGTTGTAGAAACTTAGGAAAACAAACTGAGAATGAATATTATAGCTGTGGAGCCTGCTTCACAGTGACAGCCAGGTGTATGTGCACAGTGCACAGAGTTCCAGACAGCGGATCATATCTGCCTTTACGTTTGCACCTCAAAGGTTCCATTTGGGATTTACTGTTTTTGAAGCTTGACCGATGCCACTACTGATAATAGGGAGTGAAATATTTCAATACTGATCCAAAAAACTTGGCAGTCACTCCTGAGATGGCTTTACCAAACCCAAAGAAATATAAGTGAGGCTCGATATTTTGCAGTTTAACCATAAACATTTAACTGTAAATAATAAGAAACACAAAAACAACCAAATATATAAAACCTGAACTAAGAAGATAAGCATTGTTAATTCTGCAGAAGTTCTATTAAACACAGACACTAAAATGACTGTGAAAGGCTTAAATTGACAAACCGATGAATCAGGCTCTAACGTTTTTATGCAGTTTCAATGACTTAATGGCAAATACAGTGGCCTCTTTATTAGGTACATCTGTACGATCTATTGCAACAGCTGAGCCTTTAATACTGTCTTTACAAAGCTCATAATGGTGTTTTTACCTTTCATCCTTCCTATATATCTATATACTGTATATCCTTGGGGTGGCACAGTCTTAGAAATACCTCTCAGCCCACTGCAACACATCACTGTAATGCAATAACTGAGTGAAAACCTCTATAACAGTGTGGAGAAATTAACGTCATATCATAGACGTACGTTTAAGAGAAGAACTGTATTGTTGGATTTAATTGATTCCTGGTAATATGTAGAATTAACCTTTTATTTATGTCTGAAGCATTTGAAGTAGCTTCAGGTGTCGCAGCAGTATAAAATGTGTCTGAGTTTTCCACAGCTAGCTTAAGAACTTAATGTTCTTATAAATAACAATATGTGTGTCAGCTCATAAACTGGATACTCAAGTATGCCGAGCATTTAGCACATGAATGTAAACATGGCTGTTGTGTCCACAGATGTGACACAGTCTGCTCCGACAGGCTCAGCGGAGGGATTAGTCGGACAGGTGTTTTTAATTGGGCTCAGACTGGGGGCTTTTCCCACCGCACTGAGTTAAAGCTCGTCTTAAACACCGTCTTCTTTCCTTCTCTCGGTATTTGACAGCAACGTTGTGGGCGAACACAGTCGCCTTGGGCTCCCAGATGGAGAATGTTTGAGATAGTGAAGCGGTTTTGTCTGTTCGCAGTGCAGGAATCAGGGAAGTGGAGAGAAACAGCTGGGCCACAGTGCTGCTGTCCGTCTTTGTTTGTTTTCTCTCGACTCACTTCTGAGTTTGTTTGACATCCAACACACGCTGGCTGCAGCACACTGAGGCTACAGTGACTCCTTAAAGACGACTGTAAACACTCGGCATGTTAAGTGATGAGAGAAACAGTCCACAAATGCTTCAGCTATTAAAACCACCGTAGAGGCTAATATAAACTGTGTTCACCACGTTGTGCCCAGAGGTTTATTCTGAACCTCTCTGTTCGACTTCACACTTTTGGGAATTATTCCTTTGGATAATTCCATAATCGGTTCCTTGTGTTTATGTTGAAGTCGCTGTCTTTGTCAGCTTTCTGACAAACAAAGAGAGTGTTAATGACATGAAACCGATATGTTTTATGACCTTATGCAGCAGCTGGCCAGACTATGGGATCATGGGATAGCAAAGACAGAATGACTGGATATGGAGAAGCAGACAGATCTGGTGTACGGAGAGCTCTTTGTCAAAGCCTGTGGATTTACTCTGCGCTCATTTGTGCCAACTGCACTGGGATCCCAGTGTAAATGTTTGCAGGTGGTGGTTCCTAAACTTTGCATGTTCATTTGTTAGGCAGAGTGAGCACGATTGTTAAATACCTACCTCTTCCTTCAAATATCTTGAAACAAGGCTTTTAAAGATCAATTTATTTTCATACTTTCATAAATCAAATGATTGTTTTTGTTGAATTCACCAACTTTGTGGAGACAGTAGTGGCCACTTATTTGTTGCTCTTGAATGCTGGTACATTATATTAAAGACAACAACATCCGTCTTCATCAAGATATCGTTGACAACTCTTACTGAGTTGCTGTCGGAAACCTGATTGTTAGTTAAATTAAAAAGTGGAAGCTTGGAAATTAGTTTCTCGTTGATCAGAATGGTCAGAATTGAATTTTGGGCACAAGCCGTCTTAATATAATATGAAACACACAAATTCATTCAGTCTGCATTTGAATTAATGAATTGGGTCATCAGAAGGACCTGGGTCAACAAATCCGTGGTTCTGAATAAGAAACTGGTTTTGTGCTGGTTAGAGATGATGAGCCGTGAGAAATATTCTGATGCTTGTTTAGAGTGAATTCATACCAGAGTGGCAGCTGGTTTGTTTTGAAGCTCCAGTCTTGTGTCTTGTGTGTGTTGTATAAACATCCATCGACGCACACAGGACTCATCTTATTGTTTCCTTTTAGACAGTGCTGCTCTCAGACCATCCTAAGACCCACTTCTTGCTCTATATGGAGCTTTAAACAACTGTCCAGGTTGTTTTATTTTTCTGTTCTGCTCACTTTATTAAACGTTTGTATCCTTCCACTCATTTTTTATCACTTGGTTACTGAACTGCTGCTTCTGTCTCCTGTGGTTTCAGTGTGCCAGTGTTTTGCTGTTCTGGAGGATGGAGTGTTGGCACACAACCTGCAGGAGCAGGAGAGTAAGTACAATGTTCTGCTGCCCTGTGTCTCTGTGGAGTAAACGTGAGCTGCTCTCCAGTCTGTATCACTGAGTCACCACCTTCTGTCTTGTGGGGCTTCATCTTTAGTTATCCAGTGCAAGAGTTTATCTTAGATTTATACTTCAGCATCTATACAGATAATAAAAATAACAACAATATCAATCAATCCGATTTTATTTGTATAAAGCCCATATTCACAGTCTCATTGAGCTTAACAAGGGGCGTCATTTCTCCCAGGACAGGTGCAATAGATGCTGCGTGTAACTGAACAAAATAACAGTATTTACAACATTGATTCGAAGAAATAGAAACGTGTGTGAATGTTTTGGAAGTATTTGCCCGTAAGAAAATGTCTGATAGAGACGAAGGCAGCAGCAATGACAATGAATTGGAGGAGTTCTTGTCAGTAATGGTAGAATAAGTGAGTTGTACATCAAGCAGTCTTGTTGTAATCATTGTCCATGATCAGCTGCCAGATCCACCACCATCACGATCCACCACCATCACGATCCAACACCAGCTGCCAACACATGAAGCATCATTTTGTGGCATATAATTTGTTTCTTCAAAAGTTCTCTGGTCTGACAATCCACCAACAATGTTTTAAATCAACAACACAGCATTTTATATTTGCTGCTTTTTTTTTTCTCTGCCCCCCCCCCCATTAGTTGAGCAATACTACACCACCAACATCCAGAAGAACCAGCTCGTACAGAACGACATCCGTGTGGCCAAGAGGCTGCAGGATGAGGAGGACGATCAGCGAGCCCAACAGAGCGCCGACCTCAGACAGGCTTCCAGACAACTGTAGGTCCCTCCTACTACACTGTAACACGACTCATAATGCTGCTGCACTATTCACACACCACTGAGGATTCACATCTATTGTGCTTTAGGTCTTTCAGAAAGTTGACAGCATGTTTACAGAGTACCGTGTGTGTGTGTGTGTACCATGCAAATGTAAATTTATCTTGATGTTTTTAATTGCAATGAATAAATGCTTCAGTTCTGCTATGAGAATTTGTGTCATCATGTGTTAGGAGTTTTAATTTAGAACAATAATGAGGCTCTTCCTCCCCACCCTAACTGCCCTGCAGAGAGGAGCAAGACTTGGAGTACGCTCGTGTCATTCAGGAGGAGCTCCAGCGGTGTGCTGAGGAGGCCCACAGAAGGGAACAGGACGATGAGGTGAGTCTAGACAAATATATCTGCTTTCAGACAAACGCAGATAATATAGATAATCTCCTAAAATCATCCAGAGGGGCTGTATGTGAAAATGTCTCCTGATAATGTCCGAATGAGCCCATGTGAGAACACAGCAGGATGTTGCGCTCCAGAGATTTTTCTGTTGTCTCACTGGAGAATCTCCTGCTGTGTTCTTCATATGTGAAACGCAAACAACTCCTGTAGTATGTTGTCCAGATATTTTCTGGAATTCATGTCTGGCTCATAATGAGAGTAATAATTATACATGCAACTTATTGTGTCAACATCTAGTTTATTTTCTTCTAATCAATGCATTAGAAGTCACCATTTTTATTGACAGAGGAACTTGGATTCACATCCTTCCTTCAGTGAATACATGTGTCAGACATATGTGTGTGCAGGAGTTTTTTATTTAAAATGCTCAGACTGACCCCTTACACCTGACGTCATCTGGATCTGCACTTACTCCAATAAACCTCTTTTAGATTTGGAAATCTGCAGCCATCAGTGTCTGCATAAAGCCAGTATCTCTCAGTACATTGTTAGCTCACACTGAAAGAAGGCTCACAAAAATGAGGTTTCAATGATGCGTGAAGATATTTGATGAAGTATTCTTTGTTCTCCTCTTTGCACACACATCTTACTCCACGAGTTGGTGATCAGCCTGTACATGAATACTTCAAACCAACATTTATTGCATCATCTTTTCCATTGCACAACAATCAAATCTTTGTACGGATAGAAAAGGAACCTATCAGCTAACAACCCCAGTACCCCTGCATACTATCTGCTATTGGCTCCGAGGGCAGCCACATTTAACACAAAGAACATCATCTTTGCATATTTTTAGACTACGAGAGGAAATTTATAGTGAGCCATCAAGCAAGACAGCATATGATACGATCAATAAACTCAAAAAATGTCACTCAATAAAGTGCTTACAACCCGAAAAGGCCCAACGGTCCCCTTATGAAGCCACTTTTAAATTCACTAGATCTGGATTTTTATGTGGATCTGCACCAGATTGCACGCACTCACAAATATCAGTCCCCTAAACATGTCAACATTTTCAACAAGATCCTTGAATTATTCTCTGAGAAGTTAACGAAAATATTGAAAAATGCTCTTTCTCACAAAGTGATTCACCCCAAATTTGGGGGATTCTCCCTTGGGTCATGTCCCACCTCTCCACAAAGTTTCATGGAAATCGGTTGGGTAGTTTTTGTGTAATCCTGCAAACAAACTAACAAACCAATGCAGACATTTGGCAGAGGAAATGAAAAGGGAGAAAAAAAGTAAAAAGCTTTTATTTCAAACCTGTTTTTGGTTAATGGCTCCAGTAATGAAGAGAACATGCCAGAAAATATATACACATGGAAACAAGGTTGAAAGTCAGAGTTCCCCCCACCAGTCGCTCATTTTATCATTTCTAAATTTAAAGCTCTATCTCTGTTGTCCCGAGTAATAAGAGGACTCAGACAAAAGTTTGTAAGGAGAAATATTTTGAGGGATTTGCTCCTGAAAGGGGAACAAATCCTCCCCCGTGGGTGTCGTGTTGCTGTCAGTAACCAGAGCAGAGCAGGACGCTGTGTGAACAAGTCCAAATTTAGCAGAATGCTGTCGTGAAATAGAAACACGGATGGAACCAGAGTGACACTTGAAGTGATACTCCACCCCTAATATATCTTTAAAGTATCTGATACTCACCCATGTTAGTCCACTGTCACGTCATTGACAGTTTTAGTTGATCGGTCCCTCCCAATTCCAGACAAAGCAAGTGGAATTGATCTATTTTGTTTCCAGCTAATATTTCCGTGGCAACAAAATTGGTTTAAACCCAAATCCCTAGTTTGAGTCTCATTAGACTGTGTTGATTCATGCAACAGGAATGTGTGTAATGGATTATCTGACGTCTGTAGTAAGTTTGCTACACGGTGCACAAAGCAGAAAATGACAGCGTGCGAAGGCAGATTAATGACACGATGGTAAAAACGCACTCAGGACATAATTGTGCATATTTTAATGATCAGCCTGTTACCAGCGAGTGAGGGAGAATCATACGGTTCGCTTCGTTCTCTCCGAGGAACAACGGAGTCCGTAATGAACAGCAGGTCTGATGTAGCTCGATGAGCAAAGTCATCTGTTGAACAGAGACACAACCTGTCAGCTTCCAAACCAGGTGATGGCTTAAGTAGTTTCTGTGGCGGTTGTTGTCACGGGCCATCAATCCCGTCGATGACCTCACACAGAACGCACTCGTGTGGAGCTGGATGTGCATAATCAACACGTGTAAAACCTTGACGATGCACTGAGACGTGTTGCGTTAAACTTTAAGTGCAGTGTTTAATCAAGGTTTTAACTGGTTATGAAACAGCCTTATTTTAATATCGCTGACAGTCAGGGAGAAAATTGGCTTTTTCTATAAAACTGTTCTCAGCGTCCGTCGCCGGGACGGATTACCTGATGATTTACTGCAGTCAGGCTAGAAGAGCCTATGTTTGGGTGAAGGAAGAGGAGGAGGCGAGCCGGGCTTCCTTGTTAGCCTTGTTAGCAGCAGAGCTCTCGGAGATGTTGGTTGGATGAAATATCTCAAGAACTAGATGACGGAATCTCCTCTAGCGCCACCATCAGGTTGATATTTGTGGTTTTGAGTATTGGATAGTTGTTATAAACCTTTTAGTGCCATTGTCATGTAGAAATTTAAATAAACAGTATTTTGTTTTCGGTTTCTGATGTGACACTTTTTCCATCTGATTAAACAAATGCAATGTAGAATGACTTCACTTGTATGTTTTCCATACAACTAATCCTATTTTGCGGTTTCTCTCAAAATGTTTGTTAATGTGCACAAAACCAATTCCTCTTGCAACTCAAACACAACAGGGAAACCAGATGGTTCCCATCAATCTCCTCTCCCCTGTTGTCCACACAGAAGCCCAACCCGTCCGAAACTTTTATTTTTAAATCCCTGTACCTTTTTACAGCGCACATGTGCATTTCCTCACTCAGTTGCTTCACAAAAAACAAACCCTCTGACTGCCCACCAGTAGAAATGAAGAGCTGAGCTTTGTAACTCCCCAGCTGGCCCAGTGCGTCACAAGGCTGCTCCAGCATAATATTTTCCTTTACCCTGCAGTTTCCTCTGTAGAGGAGGCTGCCATGGACGGGCTCATAAAAGCTCCTTGTTTGGAGGATGTGAGGTCGGAGAAGCTGTGGGGTTCATTCATCACTATTAAAGTGGTTCGGTTTTGAAGCCATGAGGCGTCTACACTCAGTACAAAGCTAAAGCCTCATTTACCTGCTGCGTTAAGAGTCGTGCCACTTCATGCATCACATGGTTTGTGAATATATCTCTTCCTGTGTGGTTCTCATCATTTCTTTTTACGAGTGTTGATGCTAGGATCAAATGATGAACTATTAACGCTCCCATTAACTTACCTTCTTAATGACTAGCTGATCAGAGGTGTTGATTAAATATTTGCCTCCCTGTAGATTGTGTCTTTAATTAAGGAACAGAAGGCGTTAGGCTGTGCAGTTTTAAATGCCAGATCCCTGTGGCACTCCACACCTAACCTGCCATGGCAAGCTGCTAATTATCCGCTGATGCTGGCAAAGTGGCTGACGTTCATGCCCTGATTGTGAAGCAAAAGGAGCTGCGTTAGCTTTTAGTGTTGATTTATGTTGCAAATGCAGAGATTTCATATAATGCACCAGGAGAATTTGCTGATTTGTTGAGAACATTATTAGTCCTCCTGGCCTTTCTTAGAAAAGTGGCACAGAGACGTGGTGGTGGGGGGGGGCTCTCCCCCCGGGGGGCAGACGCATATCACAGCTCTGGTGAGAGCAGGCATTCCTCAGTGACAAGGTGTTACTTCAAGAGAAACAGTCCTGGTGACCCTCCTCTGTTCGCATGTTTCTGGTCCTGAGTTCAGACTGCTGTGTTGTTATTCCATCAAATTAAAAGGCAGAGGAAATGAAACAAAGTATCTTTAAGACCATTACTTTCTTTTTTACGTCATGGAACAAAGAGAACAGAAAAGCGAAAGAAATCTCAGAAAGTTTCCTTAATATGAGTCACTGGCTCCTGTTTAGTGGGTTTCTGTTTCACTCACCGTGTCATGCTGCCATCTGCTGGTTGGAAATAGCTAAATGATGGCAGTCAGGTTAACTGATGGTTGTGCTCTTCACCGTGAACAGCTTGTTGTGAAGAATTTAACATGATATCATGATGAATTTTAGGATTGTGTTTTAATCAATTTAAATGTAGTTGGAAATTTTCTTCAAATGTCTTGAATGATCAGTGATATATCTGTGTTTATTTGACAGAACAGCTCCATCTCTGTGTGATCTTAGTTCAGCATGATGTTTACTCTTTATGATTTACTACCTGAAGAAGCAATCAGTTCTGCCGTGTCTCCACAGGAAATAGCTAAACGAATGCAGGAAGAGGAGGAGCAGAGGATCAGAGCGAGGAGCAGAGGGCAGGAGGGCCACAGTGAAGGTACAGATTGTTTGAAATGATTTATTTGATTATTAATGTGGCAACCCAACATGATTTTAAAATGTATTCTGATGTGAGAGAATAAGTTTTAGTTTTTTAAATTTACAAGAAAAATTGTGATGTTTAAATTGCTTAGATTTTTGATTTTATATCAAAATTACAGATGTTCCTATACCATTTTTATACCAGGAATTTGCCTATTGGCCAATCCTGATTACCACATCTGAAACCAGTTTAGTTAGAAAACCACAGCTTGTATAACACATGTAAACAGCTGTATGCTTTGAGCTTTCTATGGAAGTCTGGGACTTTCCAGCCTAAAATTATTGCCAAAGTGACCGACTCTCGCTACACATCTGGAAATCACCTCCTCATCACTAATCACTCATCTAATAACAGTGGTATGCAGCGCTGCTACTTATTTGGAACAACGAAGTAGAAGTTATTTCCAGTAAAAGAAAATTGCAGTTTTATCAGGGTGAAGCCAATATAATTTATAGATGTGGTTTCTGACAATAGATTAGCGTACTCGTCTTTGCCCGACCTGGTATTTTCAGCAGTATCGGAGATATTTCTGACACGATTATCGGTACCTGAATCAAAAAATGTTTTGGATTATTTGTTTTAACTGCTTTACCTTCTCTTTAACTATACTTTAATCCACTGCTACTTTTTTTACTACTCTTGTATATTATATTTACAGATATTTCAACAGCATGAGAAAAACATCACCTAAGTAGCTATAGCACAATATTGTCATCTCATGATGTGTTGCATGTATATAACATGTGATAGTGTATCTGTATTCCTATCCATTTATTGGAATGCCTCAGTTGTGTTTTAGACATTTATGTAACAAACACTGTTTTCGATGCTAAACGTTACCTCGGCATTAACTGCACTTGTTTAATAGCGCCCCCCTGACATCCTCACCCACCCTCCCTGCTTTTGTGTTTGCATGTTTTGGCATTACTAAAGACAGCGCCGGTGATTCTGCTCTGCCGTCCTCACACCAGCACACACTCTGCAGCCCTCACCACGGAGGGGAACAGTGCTCATCTACCTCCACGAGGTGGCAATGTTCTACCTCTCACAACTGTTCAGACCTAACTCGGACTGGGGCTGCCTCCCCCAGGGGAGTAGTAGCTCAGGAAAGCACAACTTCATGGTCAAATCAAGGACACGCAGATTCCATTAGGCAAATTAGGGAAGAGTTGAGAGAGGCTTTGAGTGAGGACTCTGAGGACTCGGACACAGTTTACCCTGCACAGCTCTCTGTCTGGTCCCAGAGACAGAATAGAGGACTAAACACAGCCCCTCCTCAACGACGGGCCTCTTCACGTTATCCACAAGAGAGAAACTACAGAAGTCTTAACTCGCACAGTAGCTTCACTAATGAGTTCAGAAACTGGAACGAGGAGAGAGGGGAATGGGATGAGGATTATTATGACAATGAATGTTATGACAGAGAGAGGAGGAGGCACGGGAATCAGCATCAGGAGAGGAGCCACAGAGAGGATTATGAGGGACTGCACAGGGGCAGAGATCAGGATCGAGACTCCGGGTTGGTCGAGGGTAGAGAAAGGCGATGCAGTCGCAGTGAATCTGTCAGGTTACATGACGGGAGTCGAGTCAATAACAGGGACTTAGCAAGGACCTGGAGCCACAGGGACAGCCCAGACAAACGTGTCCATTTTCAGGACGACACCAGAAACTCTTACAGGCAGCCGGATGAAAGCAGACAAGTCTGGGAGATGCTTGGCCAGGTCCTCAGAGAGAGGGGTGTGCCTGTGACGCTTGGTGCCAACGGGGCGCCACTGCAAATAAGGCCTCAAAGCCGAGACAGCCAGGTGCTTCATGGGAGTGAGGTCTCCTGCTGCAGCTCCCAACCACATCAGAGAGCCTTCCAGAGAGCTGCCACCACCAGGCACAGTTTCCATGGAGATATCCGGAAGAGGAGGAGATCGTCACACCGAGAAAACAGTGGGAGAGATCACAGAGAAGACCCAGACGGGCACTGTGATAACGTGGAGCGTGATGGAGAGGTTTATGAGATTAGCAGCAGAGACTCGAATCTTGCGAGCGGAGAAAGGCGAGGCAGTAGAAGGTGGAGAGAGCACAGAAACACTAATGACGACGAGAGGGAGAGGAATGCAAATGATTACAGGGTCAGGAGGACAACGAGTGAACGCAGAACGTGGCACAAGACCACAGAACGAAGGTTAAGCTCGGAGGAGGTGGAAGGGAGGGTGGAGTGGCCCCCTCGACGAGCCCCACAGCGTAGCCTAAGCCTCAGCAGCAGTGGGGCCTCAACCATGGATAGGTCAAGGCACGCAGCAGCAGGTAACACCCGCAACTGCAGCCAACTCGGATCTGTAGAAGGGAAGCTTCCTTTCTGTGTTCCTCTGATCCTCTCGTTTCCACTCAATCATCGTCTAATCTGGACAACTTTGGCTCTAGTGGTGATTTGGGGTCTCTTACTGAAGTGGGACGTTTGTCTATATCTATAATTCCCTGTAGCCCTGAGATAATCTTTAGTGTGTGCCCTCATTTCCACCTGTGTCTTCATCATCAGTCTTGATGTAGTGAGAAGATACATACTAAGGAATCTCTTTCAGTCGAGGAACATGCCTTTACACGCTGCATTCTCTTATGTGTGATTCAAATGTTTGTCCTGGTGTGTTTCAGCCTCTGCTTCATTTTACTTGGATGATTCACCACTGATACTGTTAGTCAGTTTTATGTTATGTTTACCACCTGAATGCACTTTGTCAATGAACTAGTGTGTTTATTTTTGATTTTATCTCTGGCGTGGTGAAACTTCACCCTCAGGAGTGTTACTGCAACCAGATCCGAGTGAGACAAGCCTGAACCTCGGGGAGTTGCATCAAGTCTTGCGAGATGAAGAACTTGCCCGCAAGCTGCAGGAAGAAGAGGAAAAGCTGTTGAGGAGAGTAAGTGATCCAAGAGTTTATCGTGACGCACTGTGATTTACGAGCAAAGGAGGAAGGATAGATGATCAGTCCCCGTTTCAATCTTTTTCTGACATTAATCGTCTTGTTCTCACAGAACTCCCAACCCCCTCCACGTAGTCTATACCCACAGGGAGACTTCAGAGTAGCACAAGTGGCACAGGATGAGGTACGATTGTGATCTGACATGTCTTCTTCATCCATGTATCTCATGTTTAACATGCACCTGTGGAATGACACTTTCCTGTGCTGTAGGAAATTGCACGTTTTATGCAGAAGCAGGAAATTAAGTCAAAGCGCCGATCTCGTGAGCTAGAAGGGCCGGCGTCGTGGCGTGAGCACAGAGCAATGATCAGTCACCATGATAGACGAGCTGCAAGAGAGAGAGAGGTAAATGTGTTCCAGAGACACGTTTTACATCCTATTGTCATGCATGTCTTTTGAAAGATCCACTTTCGTTTTACGATATTTGAAGTTTGTGCACTTGCGCTGCTATGATCTTTGTCATAAAAAGAAGCTGATGAAATGAGTCGGATTCCTTTGTGATCTATCTCAGGTCCAGCGAGAGAGACTGGACTCAGAGGGACTTCCTTCCCCCACTGAGGACTGCTGCCCAGAGAACCAGCCGCCCAGTCCCATCTCCACTTTACTGTAATTGTTACATATATCTTTATTACATAAATATACCTTCCAATTCCAGAAATCTCTGTCTGTCTACATATGGCACGCATATCTCCAGAACCGTTAATGGCCCAAGGAAGTGAGTGCAGTATCGAACTTTGTGCGATTAGGAGAAACATTTTATTCGATCACGACAGCAGCATGTTTATGACAACGGGCGTAATTACGATAATGGACTCTCCAGGTCGGGGTTCTGCGCACCAAGTTGAACTTTGAATAAACGGGTGAACAGCCCTTTGTGCAGCAGCGGTGGTTCAATTACTGCAGGTCGCTTTTACAGTTTCAGAAAGAAACTGCCCATTCCCAACAGACATCAGAGTCACTGCACTAGTTTATATAAAACCAATACTGTGAACTATACTGTGTGCTGACGTATTGCTGCTGCGTCCACAGACCAGCCCAGCAAATCAGGAACATCGCAGAGGAGCTGGACCCGACCTTCCAGGCCCGGAGGCAAGACACAGAGCGCCTCCAAGTGGAACAAACTGGTACTTAACAGGATCAGAGTCACTTGACATGATACTGTTTGAACAATAGCTGGATACTCACATCCTTTTCATCCATGACAGGTCCAGCGTGTCAGTCACTTCCCGTGCCGCATTCTGGCTTAAACGACTTACTTGTGGAGCCGGCTTTCATCCCACCCACGAAGCGGCAACCGGACAAATCAACGCAGTCGAAACTAAAAGAGAAGAAGGAAAACTGCAAGCAGCAATGATGTCCAGCACTGTGTCGGATTGATGGATCGCGAATATATTTCATAGCACTAAATATCAGTTCTCATGATCTTATTACTTTGAGGTTAAAAGAGTTAAGTTTTACCGGCCACTCCCATTAGCACTTAAGACCAGTGGAACAAAGAAGTGACATTTAAGACAATTCCTTGATTAAGTGAATAGTGACAACACTATTATCAAAGGGACAAACTGAGGTTTTTTGAAGTATTGTTTGAATTTGTCAGTGTTTAATTTTAACATTATACATTTATTTTTTTTATTTGTATCCTTTTATTTGCAAATCTGTGTGTTGGCAGTATCCAAAATGTCCTCTTTGTTTATATGTGTTCACAGAGCAGCAGCCTTTTCTGCAACATGTACTTGATTTATTTCCACAAGAAAGATGCTGAGGAAATACCCAAGGTTGAATGATTGGATACGTCACCATCAGTTTAGCATTTCTGAATGTGGGGGAGACGCCCTGAGCTGGAGACTCTCAGCTCACCAAGAGGACAAAACAAGGAGTTACTCTGATAATCTGGTAGCATCTGCCAACTTAGTTTCGGAGCAGTTTGACCAGACTCCTCAGCACTCAGACAATCAAATGAACTATAATTATTTAAACGGGCAACACATATTACAACTGTCATCATTTTATGTTATGGTGCATTGTAATATCCCAATGTAAACATATCCAACTTGTGAGGACGATGTTCGATCTTTGGGTTCAATATGTATTTAGCAAAGCAATCTAAGTTCAAAGGTTATCAGAGTTAATCTGACTTTCAATAGAGACCATCCTTGTGACCCTGGTCTCTTCAGATATACATCCACTTGTCAACGTGTGACTGAATTTTTACACTTCAACCAGGTCACATGATGACGCCTGAGCCAGCTCCATCCACTGAGGTAGAGATGCATTTGAAAACTCCCAAAAACTTGCATGTGGTACTTTAGGCTTTGATTATTTGGTACAATATCCAAAGCATGGTTTGGATATTGCTTTTTATCAGTCCAGACCTTCAGGAAACAAGGATTACATTTTGTACACACCTAACAGCTCTGTAGATTGTTTGTATGATGTTCATTTATTCCCACATTTAGAACACCAGTTGTTTTTTTGTTTTTTTAATTCTTTACAAACCACTGCTTCAGTGGACCACTATGAATGAAACTGTTCTGTATAAGTGCAACAAGTTAAAAAATATTTTTTTATTCACTGTTACAAAGTACAATGTCATAAACATATAATGCAGCACAGTATAATCCAGTGTTTATAGATAATTATGAAAATGCATATTATAGAAAAATAAGTCATTTAAACAAAAATATGATGAAGCAGAAAGATAAATTCATAACATTAATTTCAGGTAACAGGTGAAATAAAGTGTGTCAGTTCTTTTGCTCTTTGAGTCTGTGGATGTTCACCTGTGAACTTTGAGGTCTTTCACATCTTACTTTGTTCCAGCTGTGACTCATTCTGCTTATGTGTTTATATTTTCATCACAAGCCCACAGAATGATTCACAACTTTTCCAGTTAAGATAACTCTGCTACGGCCTTGAAAAGATAAAAAAAAAAAAATCCACTTCTCTTTATCTCTTTGGCCACTGTGATATAAGTTAAACAAAAGCAATGAGCAGAACGACATGGATTAGGGCTGTGTTTATATGAATGTCCCACACTGTAGATTCCCATCTGCTTTAATTGAATGTGTTACTTATTCACAAAACCTCCCAAAACAGAAACTCCCTTCACTGGACTTTCTGTGACAGGACGAAACTCCATGTAGTTCCTTCAATATGATGGTTATTTCCTCCACATAGGGAATGCACAAAACTGATTTACATGGAACTTGGTAGAAGGGTGCATTATGGGTCGGGAAAGAAGGTGCAGGAATACTTTTTCACTTTCTTCAACATTGCGAGTTGGCGTTTTTCAACATTTTTGTGGATTTCTCAGAGAATAATTGATGGATCTTGATTTTAAAAATTGAAGTTTGTTGTAGATCTACATACAAATACAAATTTCACACAGGGACCATTGGGCCCTTGGCGGAGAAATGCTTTCTGCTGAGCACCATTCTTATCATTTTACAGTTAATCACAAAGTAAAGTCCCCATCAGTTTTAGAAAATAAACAAAAACAGACCAGAGGTAACAAACTGACTCTTGATAAATCATTTCTCATCACATGAATTCATCATCAACAGCACTGTCCTGCTGCTGCTGCAAAGTAACAGACATATTAACTTACAAATTCAGCAGTAAACAGGAGGTAATTGTAGGTTTAGCACAAAGTAAAACAACACATCTGTTTTGGAAGTAATGTGTGGGCTCAGCATCAGAACACCCACCTGCACTGTACGTTCACACTGTGCTCACTTAAATATCAAAGTAATAACAAGTTGTGTAGTTTTACCTTTATCTGTTGTCTAAATTTAAACATTTAGATGACTGTGACTATTTCAGGAACCCATAAAATTTATAGCTTGACTGACAAGGGGAAAACACATGTTGAGTAGACTTGTTTTGTCCCTCAGAATTCCCCTTCTTCCCATGCACACATTTCCTGTCAAAAATTGTATCCTGGTTTGATTATTGAGCAACTGTTCAAACTTGATCTTTGCTTAGGTAAATGAATAAGAAGTTTTTTTTTAAAGATAGCCGGGTATTCACCTGTTGGCTGTGTCAAATGACAACCTCTAAAAACATCAGTATCACAGAGAAGCATCACATCTTATTCTATAAGGTATTTCAGTGCGTCTTTCTTGCCTGGTCCCTTCTTTTCATGCGATGAGCTGCTCTGAGGAGTCCTTGCTGTCCAGCGACCCCGAGCTGCTGCTGCCTTGCTCCTGCTCGGCCTCATGAAAACTGCACTCCATTGCTCTTAATGGCATAGGTAAGTCTAAAGAAACAACAAAGAGCATATTTTTCTGTTTGTGATCAACTTAATGAACATCCTGTGTGATCACAATACATCAGATAGCACAGACACAATAAACATCTCATGGTCGATCATTAAATATAGTGTTTACCTATATTTATCGATGTCGTAGTGACTATGTCTTGTGTCTTCTTTCTTCTTTCTCTCGGGACGCGTTTCAAGGTCACAGTGATGACGATGATCATGATGACGATGCTCATTAGAGCTAAAATGATCACCACGGTTAAGACCAGCGGCCATGTCGGCTCTGTGGTATCTGACAAAGAACAGCAAGACATTACAGCTGATCTCTAAATTAAAAGATCCAAGATGATTGCCTGAGCAGAGCAGAGTCAAGCCTCACCTGGTTTGGTGGGCTTTTGTAATAATTCCACTGACACCTTGACACACTTGATGTCAGAAAACATAGTTCCATTGGCCTCAATGTATTGATATGGAGCTGTGCACCTGTGGAAAAACATAGAAAGATGTCAGTGAGTTTTATGAAACCAGTCTGTCAGTGCAACAACAGCAGAAGAGCAAAGCATTTCTTACGTTTTCCAGGGTTTACACTTCTGATGACCCTGGTCGTTGAAGGTTCCAGGTGGACAGGGTCTGCAGTAACCTGCAGAGACAAAAGTCATTCATTTATTACTTTATTTTAAAACATAAATATATATAAATTATAAACAAGAAGAAAAAATAAGACAATCCATCCTCGAAAAGTAGTGAAGTTAAAACTAAATCCCAATCATAGACTGTATATAAAGAGATCCCAGTGAGTGATCCCAAGAGATGCAGTTGTATGCCTCTGCCAACCAGTGAAGTTTCTGTGTGCATACATTTTTTTCCAGATTCGTTAACTTTGACCACCATCAGTTAATCCTTGAGTTCAAGTGAATGCTTGTGCCAAATGGGAAAGGATTCCCTCAGGGCGTTCTGGAGATATCGCATTCACAAGGCCACAAAATCACCGACCGCCAAAATCTTATCAGTTCATCCTTGAGTCCAAGTCAATGTTGAGATATTATGTTCACCAGAATGAGACGGACAGAAGGACAACCTGAAAACATAATGACTCCTGCCACTGACTGTCACCAGGGCAGAGGCATTAAAATACATCTTCTAGTCCCACCAGTGTCTGAGATACACGTCTCTGTCACATCACACAGGAATCACACACTGAACCAGACAATCAGAATATATCCAAACCTACATTCAAACAATCCAAAGACAAATCACCACAAAATACCATCCCATATTCAATATCTGATGAGATATATTTATATATATATATACATATATATATGATAATAACTGTATTTTTTACTTACGATCATTTGTGGGTTCTTCACCTCTGACACACTCCTTGATACAGAAGGAACAGCTGCTGTCCCCACAGAGAAGTCCTGGTATACAGCCGCACTGTGCGTCACTTGTGGGTGTGCACTGCTTCTTGTAGACCTGAGCCCCTGAACACACAGAGATATGGACAGACGTGTTTTTAAATCTTTTAAAAATCTTTTCTATTGGATTCTGAGTGTAAACTTCTAAAGAAATGTGTATGTGACATTTACATACCCAAACATTGTGTACACGGGTTGCAACTGTATACTCTAGGGTTCACTGTAAATGTGCCGGACTCGCAAGGGGTGCAAAGATCTTTTGCCTTCAGACCGCAGGGTTCGACCAGGCGGTGTCCTACAAACACACACACACACACACACACACACACGTCTCATTATTCTATTCAGTGAGATTAGCTCCTTCAATGATGTAAAATGACTGGGAACACAAGGTAATGAATTATGAGATACGGCATAGGAAAGCTTTAATAACATAATGTTCACTGCTCCACATTATCTGAACTCATCAATCAGTTGCATCATCCATATATTTTCTCTTTGTTGTGGTATTAGCTGAAAAACCACCGAAACTACAATTGGTCATAGAAAACTACCGCAAAGGAACTGGAATATTATTATTACACACTCACACACAACCTTTAAGATGTACATGGAATAGTGAAAACAATAATAACATACAACAATGAAACAGGATCAAATTTCAAACAAAGAGCTGGTTCTATGAAGACATGGATCAGATGGGAACTTTCTCTTGTTAATTTCCTTTTTAAAAACCTTTTAAATACAACTAATCTCAGAAAACTGTATGAATATGTTAGATCTACATCTACTGTGGGGTCTTAAAACTCTATGACCTACCTGGAAAACAGGCTTCACAGCAAACTTTCTCTCCACTTCGGGTCAATTTCATGCAGCCTCCGTTTACGTGCTCAACACTGCCCAGACATCCATGCACGAGCAGAGAGAAACCCATCAGCCGCAGGACCACAGCCATTCTGATGTCAGCCATCAAGTCTTTGTCAAGGATGCTGCTCACGCGTCGGGTAAATTGAGAAGTAGTTCAATCAAGGAATTTTCCCAGGTATGTTCCTCTTCCCTTTTATTTTAGCTCCAAGTTTTCTGTTGCTTTAAAATCTGCACATTTAATCTAAAAATACATCAAGTGACTCAACCTAAGTATTTTTAAAATCTCTCTGCTCTGTTGCCTGCTCATTCAGAAACATACAGTAACTACCCCTACAGCCAGCTGAGCTTTCTATTCATACCCCATGACTGAAGGGGCGGGTCCAAAAGTTAAAATGACTGAGGGAGAGAGAGAGAGAGAGAGAGAGAGAGATGCTCTCTTCTATCTTGATTGGGAAATACTCAAATTCACCATCTATATAAGTTAAACTACAATTTATAACACATTTTATGTTTATTTTTATACAAATGGAGCTTATTTCCTTTTTTTTTAAAACAGCTGTTTACCCCATTAAGTTATTATTTAAAGCTTTACGATACAACATGGTGTTGTTGCTGCTGGCGACATGCTACACTTGTTCTAACTTGTCCAGATATATCTGGTGAAACAACATTCCACAAATGAGTGAATCAAATCAAGTGTTGTTGTAGTTCCATTGCATTTAAAATATACTAATACCTAAATGACTTTATTAATAATTACACATTTTATAAATGATAATTGTTGATTAAGCATCAGACTAAACTACTTTTGGAAAAGTGCTACCAACCAAGAGAAATTGATTTAAAATATTTATACTTTTACTTATTGTATTTTCTAATATTTGTTTCATGTTTACCCATTTAGAGAAGATAATCACCACTTTTCAGCAGTGGAATTAGAGAGGTCTTTTTCAGGCACCATATGTAACTGAATAATTAACCAAAAGGTTAAACGAAGTAACTCTACTGTAATTTAATTTGATGTAATTTGACAAAGCATGATTGAGTGAACAAAATTAATGAGGGACTTTCCTGCTTCTGTGAAGACTCTTACATCAGGGGCTGCGTTTAACGAGTCACAGTAGAAACCACAAAGCACCAAAAGGTCATTGTTATTGTTCCATGAAGCCCTTTGGTCACAAATACAACAAACAAACAGTCACAAGCTTCTTAGAAAAGTTTGTAAAATTCCCATCCTTTAATCACCTGTTGTCATTGTGTCTGGTGATAAATATTTAATCCCGTGTGAAAGGAAACCACGAGGCTGGCGGGAAAATAAGGAAACTGAAACTAAAAGTGAAACATGTTTATCAACGGACTTTTTGCCTTAAGGTCATTAAATATATAAGTAGTTCAATGGCAAAGTGTGACTTTACTCATGACACATTTATGACATTTAATTTGAAAAGGGAACCAGAGTTTCCTGTGGTGATGCTGAGTAACGATGGGACAAAAGGTGACTTTATATCACTGCTTTAAGGTCATTTGAGGATAATGAAACTGATTCTATGAGCCAGCATCAAGTCAGGCTTAAGATTTATTAATCCTACAGATTCCCAAGGTTGATACCTTCGACTAGAGTGAGGAAAAACTAAAAAAAAAAAAAACTCTTAACAGGGCGAAAGAAAATGTAGAAAGAAGTGAAGCGCAGTGGTTGTCACGTGTAACAGAGCACGCCAACCAATAAACCATATTTGAATCACTGATTGAAACACAGTGTCTAACAGAAATAGAGAGGTGTGTCAAAAGCAGCTTCAAAAAATATTTGATGGCCCACTGATGTGGATACAAAGAATGTTCCCTCTTTTCATTCCCACTCCTCACCCTGAGTGTCTGCCCTCGCTCTGTGTAACGTTGGTGAGCTGGTGTCAATCTCCTGTAGCTCAAACTGACTGTTAGTCACTGATTCACATCCGGCAAGTTCAAGAGAAAAGTTAAACTGGAGATCAGTTAAAGAGGCTCAGATGTCATTTAAAAACCAACCAGCGCGTCATTCTGAATCAATCATTGATCATCCTACTTTGAGAGCATCTGAAGAGACGGTGAAGTCAGCACCTCATCAGCCCCCACAACCTCGACCAAGAGCTGCATCCCACACTTCCCCTTCAACCTCCTTCTAAAGATTTCAGCTATGAAGCAACGTAAACCCCAATAGCTCAATTTACATACAGACTTGGGAAATACTTTTTGGTTGCATTCGGTTTTTGGTAGGAAATAATTGTTCTGCTGGTAAATGAGTGTGTGTATTTTTACATGTAGGTAGAAGTAACTACAAAATTGTCTGTGACTTCAGGTTTTTACTTTGCCCAACGCTCTGTATTATAAACACCACGAGGACGACTGCACTCTTTCATCTGCCTCCGCAGACGTGACTCTGAAGAGCTTGATCAAGCTCTGACGCACTTCCTTCCTGCCCTAACCCCTAACAATGCGTCCTCTCGTAGTGGGGGGTGTCGGACCCCGTACAGGCGTAGTGGTTGGTGGGTCAAGCTGACAGGGGGTCTATGTGGGTACAGAGATGCAGAGTCAGGCCGGCTGAGAGTATTCGTCAGCCCACTGGGAAAGTACACGCAGAAGGTGGTGCTCGGAAGTTCCACTCAGGGTGTTAACTGCTAAGTGTGAAAGCCAGTCGCTGACACATTTGGTGCTCTGGTGCTGCATTATACGTTTACAGTGACTCTGACATTTTCAATGACGTCTTGAGTTCAAGAACATGACCTTCAACTCAGGGACTCAGTGGGTGGTCAGCTCATCACCACCCACTTGGATGTGTCATACATTTGATATACTTAATTGAATTTGGTTTATATTTTTATAAAACACTCAAAACAACAACATACAAATTAATTAAGAGATTTGATGTCTCCGTCTAGTCTGAAAAAAGAGA